CCTTCAGCCGTCAGCAAGTTTAGACAAATTAGCCATAAGTTAAAAAATAACACATATTCTACGATTAAAACTAATGGTAAGTTTAAATTTAGCTTGAATGTTTTGGACTTACGTACCCCACAGGAGGACAATAATTTTACAATGCTTCAACCCCCTGTGAGGATACAGCCACTAACAATCTCAGCTGCTCAACTAAACTACCAATTTTAAAATATTTATCTATTTACAATTCATTCAACAAATCTAATTCTTTTAAAAATGCAATAACTAAATGAGAACTGATATTATTAAAAGATCCTTCATCGTTTGTGATTTGAAATAGTTATCCTTGTGATGGAATATTCAATACAGTCAAGCAGGACATGCTTGACCGTGATTCTCTCATCACAAAGGGATACAAAACTGGAGGATCCTCACCTTTCAATAGGTACTCATGAGTATACCTTGTATGGCCAATACGACATCGTCGTATGATGACCCTCTTCAAATCTGGACTGACAACCCAAGTAGGTGTAACCAATGTAAGGTTTTATTGCATGTAATTTATTGATACCTACCTGGGCGTCCCACTTGTTTTGCATCAGATCACGGATGTAAGTTCTAATGTTAGCTTTGTAATCAGAGTATGGGATCAGAAGTGGTGTCACAGATTTGTTGAGTGCTGCCTTTGCAGCAAGATCGGCCATTGTATTCCCAGAAATGCCAACGTGGCTGGGTAACCAACAGAGGACGATGTCGCATTGGCCAGTAGCAAGCTCATTATACAATTCAATAATTTCTAATAAAGTGGATGTTTACAAGAAAGATTGTTAATAGCCTGAAGACAAGAAGAGAATCGGAAAAGATGATGTATTGCTTATATTTACGATGTTTATTAATATATTTAAGAGCTGTTAATATGGCGTTAGCTTCTGCTGTGAAAAATAGAGCTGTTATTTGGTAGTCGAGAAGAGATTGTTCGGGATCAATGACAGTGGCACATGCCACCGCGCCATCATCCTTGGACCCATCTGTAAATAGGATTTGTAAGTATTATATTTATTTTTTAATTGATTATATTCTTGTTTATATTGTAATTCATTAGTTTCTGATTTCTTAAACTTTGTCAGAGTTAGGTCAACTTCAGGCCTCACCAGTTGCCAAGGAGGAGAAGAAAGAAGACGGAAGGAGCTATATTTTCCAGCTCAATGCCGGCAGCAGACAGGAATGGTTTAATTCTGTGCCCAAGAGGCGGAACAAGAGAAAGTTTTTTTGTTGTATAAATCCTCATATAGGGATTGAAAACACAGTTAAATGCAGGGTTAGACTCGCTAGAATATAGTTTAGTAATGTATTGTAAAGATAATTTGATACGACGTTGTGTAAGAGAGGGCTCATCTGCTTCAACATATATAGACTATCAATAGGAGAGGTTCTAAAGGACCCAAGACAAAGTCTTAAGCCTTGGTGGTGGACAGAATCAAGTAGCTTTAGGTTGCTTTGCAGGCTCCACCATATACGATGGAGCCATAATCAAGTTTCGAACGGACCAATGATCGATATAGGTGGAGGAGCGTAGCTTGATCCCCTCCCCACTTTGAGTTGGAAACAACTTTCAACAAATCGAGTGCCTTCAGGCATTTGGCTTTAAGTGATTTAATATGCGGCAAAAAGGTTAAATGGGAGTCGAAAATTAGACCCAAGAATTTGGCCTCCTTAACAACTTTGATGGGAGTGCCATTTAAAGATAGTTCTGGATCCTTATGGGGCTTATATGTTCTACAAAAGTGTAGACAATTTGTTTTGGACTTGGAAAACTTAAAGCCGTTTTCAAGACACCATCTATTTATTTTATTTAAACACAACTGCAATTGCCGTTCAATAGTATGCATATTTTTACCACGACAAGAAATATTAAAATCATCCACAAAAAGTGATCCATCAATGGAATCGTTTAAAACCTTCGATAAACTGTTGATCTTGATACTAAACAATGTTACAGACAAAATACTGCCTTGAGGGACACCCTGATCCTGATTGTAATGGTCAGACAGGGTTGAACCCACTCGGACTTGAAATTGCCTGTCATTTAAAAGTTGATATAAATTGAGGCAAACGGCCTCGTAATCCAAAGTCATGTAAATCTTTTAAAATCCCATGTTTCCATGTCGTGTCGTATGCTTTTTCTAAATCGAAAAAGATCGACACTGCATGTTGTTTATTAATTATTGCATTTTTCACAAAAGACTCTAAACGTACTAAATGATCGATGGTACTACGGTTTTACGGAAACCACATTGTATTTTAGTTATAAGGTTATTGGTTTCCAAGTACCAAACAAGTCGATTATTGATCATACGTTCCATGGTCTTGCAAACGCAGCTTGTCAGTGAAATTGGTCTATAATTAGAGGGATCAGTATGATCACGTCCAGGTTTAGGTATGGGAACAATAATAGCATCCCGCCACGACGAAGGAGAAAATTTCCAGATGTCCAAAATGGCATCAAAAATATGTAAGAGCGTCTCTAAACATGATTCAGGTAAAGCGCTTCAGGAGTTGATAATGTATGTTATCAGCCCTGAAGCAGTATCATGAGCCTGATCAAGAGCAGTATGTAGCTCATGTATCGAAAAGGTTTCATTGTAGTCTTCCCATTATCTGAATTGAAATTAAGAGATTTCTTTTCCTGCTGTTTTGGATATTTTGGAATTCAGGTACATAATTAGATGAGGAAGAATGTTTGGCCAACGTCTCACC